TCAAATGATAGGTGACCACAGATGCCTTTTGGTCTCTGAAACGAAGAGACAGAACCCAAAAGGCAATGCGTGATCAGTTCACAGTGAGATGATAGGGTTTGCATGAGGGTGCCCAGTAGCCTACCATAAATTCTAGCCTTCCTTTGATTGATCTTACATACAGTGATATTAGCTTTACGTTTTCAATGAGCACTTGCTTGGAGCTTGTGACACATATCTGGCAATGTTAGACTATTAAAGAATATTAAATGAACTGGTGTGAAATGGTAGGACGTACAATTGGCATTACTATTAGATTATTACACATTTCTAATTGGTTAAGAGTTTGATCCTCAGTAAATAAGCCCATGCTGTAAATGATATTGACATTTTTGGAGCATTTGATGCTGTGGCCTTTATGTTACAGCAATATTGCAAATACATTTATTTTGATGGGACAGAGTGGGGCTTATATATGGACAAACTATCTTTAAACACTGTATATCTGGTCAACCTTTTAAAACTCAAAGTGTACAGAGGAGACTTGAGGGGATTTGAATGGAGATTTAAGATCTGGCCAAAGAACTGTGAGATTTCAAAGATAATCAGTGATGGACTGAAAGTGAGCAGATCTGGATGTTGAAGTGGATCTGAATGAAGGTTGGTAAGAACCGTTAAGAGAGTCAGTTGATGTAAGCAACAGTGAGCAGAGACTGAGTAAAACTGGGCGATAGAGTGGTTGGATCTGTATGGAGAGTCATCAGATTTGGTTGGGTCGCGATAAGAGCTTGGAAATAGAGTGGGTCTGTATGGAAAGTAGACTGATAAGGTCAGGAGGGGGTTAATCTGTAGAACTGTTAAAGAGATAAACTGGAGAGTACGTGCATCTGAATGGAGAGTGACAGATCAGGTCGGAGAGTGGAGTTAAACAAGCAATGATCAAAGATGGAGTGAGCAGATATGGATGATCAAGTAGGTTAATCTGGATAGAGAGTGTGTGGCTGTACTCAAGGTCTTTTCCACCTAAAAGAGAACTAACCCAAGACAGACAGACATTCACAAGTGAATTGAAGTATTGTGGCTAAAGTAGGATAAACCAAATATCAAGACTCTCTACCACAGAGTTTAAACAACAAGCAGGAATTCCAAGGCTGGACATGTCTGATAAAGAGATGATAGACTGATTAATATTGCCTCTAGGATGTACACACTACACATTCCTATATTACTGAATTAGAAGGCTAGCTAATTTACCTAAAGGCACTGTTCTCCCTGCTGTCATATTTATTTGTGTGACAGTATGGTAATACTAACTTGACACAATTTTAATCAATATTTTAATCAGTATACAGTATCATACTATGAGTGTGTATCATGTTCTGACACGTCTCTGTGCATATTTTAAATGTGATTTTGGAAGCTCTTATTTGTCACAATTTAATTCCTGTTAAATCACACCTCGTCAATCTAAACCGATTTCACGTGTTTTATCCGATTTTCAGGTGTTTTGGTTATTATTTTTATCCCCCCCCCTCCCCTTTAAAAAAAGTTCAAACTCAAGGAACACAACAGGAAATATTCTTAGATGCTTAAAACTGAAGCAAAAGGTCTGAAATTTCAGTAACAGGTTTGACGTCTAATACATTTATTTTTCTATTTGCAAAGAAAAGTTTCCTGATACTGCAGGATGAAGAACCCGTTATTTTTTAATTGCTGATCTTGCGTGAGAGAGGAGAGATATTTCACCCATCACAGCTCCCTCTCAGTACGTCTGTGCTCCAGTAATAAAGTATCATATTGGTACCTTCATTCACTTTTCTTTTGAGTCCCATAAGGAGAAAGTGTAGAAGACTGCCTACTCCTCATTGGATCACTGTAGATTTTAATATTCCAAAAAAGCAGGTCAAAGTAATTTATGAAATATTTTCAGAATACACCCTTCCGCATTTCCTGATAATACCGCTTGCCCCGAGCTCTAGAATTCCATATCTAAATTCACAAAAAAAAAACACAACTGTTTTAAGCTTGTTAAGTAATGGGTTATTTGTCATTCTATTGATATTTTTGTCAATATGAAAAATATAAATATATATTAGACTGCAGTGAATGCATAGGTGGCATTACTTTATAAGCAGTAGGATTCCACTCAGAAGATGGAAGAGACAGACCTATACACTAGTGGCATGGTTGTCACATTACTCCCTAGAGGCGAAATCTGTGTTGACAGTACCCTTACACAAGCACATTAATATTATGTTTATGAAACCTACTTTCATCTCATATGGTTCAAGGTTCCAGTGTGTAGTATTCCTCTGTACCCTTCACCGTGACGGCTGAAGCCATAATGATCCGCAATGTGATGATGCTGCACTTTAATGAATGCAGTGTCCTTACAACATCACTGTTTTAATCTCACCTTTTCAACTGTGATATTGCAATCGTAAAGCAATTAAAAGAACACCCCCTAATAGTGATAAACCGACTAGTCAATATTTTGAAGATGGCTATGTAACACAAAGATTTAGAGAGGATCCAAACTGTACTGAATGTTGACTGGGATACACAGTGCAATGCAGGCTCACAACAAGAAACAAGATTAAACAAATAGTAAAAATATAAAGTGGAAATGAGAAAGATTCACATAGAGAAAGTATATTAGGAAGGCCACAAAAAAAAAAAAAAGGCTAAATAAGAGAAAGGAAACCACAATGACTGGATATGAATAGCAAGTAGCTGTATAGTAGCCGTACAATGTGATAATGAGCATACAAAAAAGGAATATATATACAAAGTGTGTACAAATGTGCTGAACACTGCAATGTGTATTGTTTGTTGCTGTAATAATAAGGTTAAACAGCTGGAACAATTTAGGTAAAATAAGTATGTTACATCCAGACAAAACACTGAAAAGTCAAAACCAGGGATAAAAGAAACATTATATATAAGATTTAAATCTTGTAGGCCAGCACTGACCTCTACGCATCACCAATTCTGTTACCATTACAGGAATTCCAACCAAGGCTCGGGCTACAATGGGGTAGCATGTATCATGCTTTGAAATGCAATCACCATCGAAACCAGTGGATCCAATAAGTATATTCCATTGGTAACTCCACCTCTATTGGATTTCTTCACCACACAACACTTGAGATATATAGCCACCACTGAGTATTAAAAAAAAACTGAGAAAGGTACAAAATAACAGCAAAAAACAAAACAAAAATTCAACAGAAAGGTGGAGAAACTTGAAGAGAGCTGGCTTCGTTCCTTGGTTAATAATTTCTAAGGTGTTTAGGCCATGCTGTTTCCAAATGGGGAAAGCAATCATCTAGTACACTGAAGCAATTGTAACATATGGTAAAGATTGGGCAAAAGTACCGGCTACGAATACCAACAGATTGCATCGAGTCCCTCAGAAGTAGTTGAATGCAGCCATTTTGTATTGGTCTTTGGAGATTTCACTTGTAATGTAATTTTTAATACCATGGCGGTCTGTCAAAGGAGTTATTTTAAAAGAAATCAAGGGAAGACCTGTGACAGCTGCACTGTGATTTACTTGAACGTAGCCCTTCCAAATATATATTTGGGTGAGAGTCCAGCCAGAGGTGTAGAGACTTGGTCTTCTGTACTTCCAGAAACTCAAAAACAGCATGTGATCTAGAGGTCTTCTTATGCTGCTACAACTCTAGCTATTTCCAACTCAGCTTCTAGTCAAAGGACTAAAGGCATGGAATCTTTTGTTGTTGTGGTCTAGTTTTTATTCTGTTTTGTATTTTTAATATTTGCTTTGAAACTTTTGCTGGTTTATATGCATTTTTTGTTGTTGTTGGTTTGGAAGACACAGCTAATTGGAAGGAGTTTCTTGTAGAACCAAGTGGCTGGGCAATCCTTTGGTCCTTGTTGGTTTGTAATGTTGCTGTCACGTCCCCTGTACCTCCGTACAGTGTGGTCGAATCCGATCGATGCGGTCACGCTGTTAAAAATAATAAAAACGTACCTAAGGCAGATCAGCTTGCCACTCAGCACCCTCGTCGATCCACGACTGGTGCAGCGTTCTAATGAAGGCTTGCCCTGCAGTCCCAAGCAACTATGTAGCCCTGCCTCTGTCCTCAACAAAGATGGTGCCGATGTGCGTGTGACATCACGAAAATGACGCGCACACATGTTTGGTGTCAAAGGCTATGTACAACCAATCATAGCCTTAGGAGGGTTATTTAAACTCAAAATAACATTTGGTCAGTGCCCTGTCGTGGTTTCCACTAGTTTTTTAACATAGAGTGCGTTCCTATTCTAGTTTTTTTTGGTATTTGACTTTGGCTTGTATTTTGACTTCCTCGTATTTCTGGTATCCTTGACTTTTGGCTTGTTTCCTTATTTTGTCTCTTTCTGTGTCCCTGACCTTGGCTAGTACTTTGAACGTTCTTTATTTATGTTAAGTCTGGCCATTCTAACGCCCAGTATACGTTATCCTTGTCCATTGTGTATTACATAGTTCTGCATGTTGGATCATATATTAATCGTGATAGTTGCCCAGTGATAAGGCCAAAGGGCTTATAAATCACTTGGCCAAATCCCTTTTCTTGATTACTAGGGGTACAGTAACCCATTTGCAAATTTTCTCTTTCCGGCCTCACTTCTGGTGGGAACTCTAAGGTTGTGGTTAATAATTTTATTTTTTGTTTTGTTTTTTATTACAACTTCACAATACATAACATAGAAAGACATCAGACCGTCAGACACATAATATTAACCCATAAGGTTAGATAAACCTTAAAATGCACTTCGTCCTTTTAATAATTACATGAAAACTAAAAGAAAAAAATAATACAGAAACCCCCCCCCCACCCCAAAAAATGACAAAAACAAAAAGGTTGTTCCATACGATGACGAGGTGAGCGGTACTAGTTTCCTTTTACTCTGCTGATTTAGAGTTTCACTGTTAAATTTACAGTTTGGGAAATATTCAAGTAAAACCCTTTACCATAATACATTGATAATTTACTTTATTATTTACATAAATATTATGTAAAATAAACATGTTGTGGGTCCAAATTAACCACAACCGTACCAATATAAATTACCAAGGCTGTGGTTAATTTGGACCCACAACATGTTTATTTTACATAATGTTTATTTATTTAACCCCTTAAGGACACATGACATGTGTGACATGTCATGATTCCCTTTTATTCCAGAAGTTTGGTCCTTAAGGGGTTAAAGTAAATAATATAAGATTGTGGATACACATATTAAAGCTGTCTGAGGTCATCTAGTAGAATATGATCCTTTCCATGCATTGTCTTTTGATATACAAATCCAGAGTTTGTTTGAAAAGGATTGTTTTTCTGGTATTTTGCATAACACTCTGACAGTACCTTTTTTTGATGACTGTCCAAGTTAGCTTGACTGCAGGGGTGCTGAATACCAACTCAATACATGTTCAGTTCACGTCACGAGAACTGCCCTTTGAGTTGTACATAACTGATTACGGAATTAGTCACTTTATGGTATATCTTCAAAGAGCTGCAATCCTAAAAGAAACACAAGTTAAAATAAAAAAAGTGAGATCAGATTTCATAGTGGCAGACTGAGGCTGCTTAGGCTACTTAGTCAAAAATCATTATTACTGCACCTTTAATTCTCAAGAGAATTCCACAGTCAGATCTGCCTACTTGACCATCATAGCGTTCATGAATAATCTATTCCCATTCAAAAGAAAGCCTTTCCAGTTAGATGGATTTTACCAATAACATGGCTGAATGGCTGGAAGAGAGATAAGGTCATGGATAAAGGCTAGTGTGTAGGATGAAAGCAAGCATAGAAAAAATAAGCAAGTAGGATGAGGGAGAGAGAATGAGAGGGTATGAGGAGAAGGAGGAAGAAAGGATGAGCAGGTAAGAGAGGATGAGAGAATGTGTAAGTAAAAAAAAACTAGTATAAGCAGGTAGAAAGAGGGAGAATAAGCAGGTAAGAGAATGGAGAGAGAATAAGCAGGTTAGAGAATAGAGAGAGAATGAGCAGATAAGAGAATGGAGGGAGAATAAGCAGGTAAGAGAATGAAGAAGTTAAAGGATCTTAACATGTATAGCTTGGAGGAAAGACGAGACGGGGGATATGATAGAAATATTTAAATACATAAAGGGAATCAACACAGTAAAGGAGGAGACTATATTTAAAAGAAGAAAAACTACCACAAAAAGAGGACATAGTCTTAAATTAGAGGGACAAAGGTTTAAAAATAATACCAGGAAGTATTACTTTACTGAGAGGGTAGTGGATGCATGGAATAGCCTTCCAGCTGAAGTGGTAGAGGTTAATACAGTAAAGGAGTTTAAGCATGCGTGGGATAGGCATAAGGCCATCCTAGCTATAAGATAAGGCCAGGGACTAATGAACGAATTTAGAAAATTGGGCTGTCACATTCTATGTCTCTAGAAAGCGCAGGTGAGAGAATGAGCAGGTAAGAGAATGGCGAGAGAATTAGCAGGTAAGAGAATGGTGAGAGAATGAGCAGGTAAGAGAATGGAGAGAGAATTAGCAGGTAAGAGAATGGCGAGAGAATGAGCAGGTAAGAGAATGGAGAGAGAATGGTAAGATGAGAGTGTGTAAGAGAGGTATGTGGGGGGGGGAACCATTAGCCGATTAGCTAAGTAAAACCACATTTTTAGAGATTGAATAAAACACTGCATGGATTTGCCAGGGAATGTCTTGCTGTTTTAGAGAGCCTAATATTAGTAGTTGTGTATAATATCTCTGCATTTATCCTGAAACACCTGGCATTTAAATATAGCTTCTTGATTGAAGCTCTTTTCAGTCGCTTTGGCGTTTTTTTTTCTTTCTAACAGTGGAGAGGATATGCTATCCTGTGAAATCCTCTCTAAACAGTCTGATGTATCGACAAAGTTATTTGCTAAAAGTAAGAATTGTCATGAAAGCAAAATGAAATTTAAATTTAAGGCCAACATTGCCACACTGGAAGTATAGCTGTTATAAAAGTAGATATGCCCCTACAACATTTAGACAATACGGCCTTGTAAGCAGGGACGTATTAGCCGCGAGGCAAACAAGGCATTTGCCTTGGGCGGTATTTTTCAGGGGGCGGCAAAAAACGCCGCCCCCAAATGCCCAGGGCAAATGCCTAGTTAGCCTTGCGGCTAACTGACATGCTGGACTGGGCGGGGGGCGCTGGGCGGGCGGCTAGCGAGGGAGCTCTTCCTCTGAGCTGTCTGCTCAGCTCCCTCGCGCGCCGCAGAGTGAGGATGGGAGCCGGGTTGATGACGTCATATTGCGGCGCAGCTCAGAGGAAGTGCTCCCTCGCCAGCCGCCCGCCCACCCGCCCAGCAGCCACTGGACCCCCAGGGAGATAATGAACCCCTTCCCCCCCAGCACCCCCAAAGGTAAGGAGGCTGGAGGGGGGGGGGTTGTTAAAAAATAAAAAAATTTAAAAAAGTGTTAATGTGAGTGACTGTGTGTGTGTGTGTGTGTCTGACTGTGTGTGTCTGACTGTGTGTGTGTGTGTGTGTGTGTTCGACTGTGTGTGTGTGTGTGTCTGACTGTGTGTGTGTCTGACTGTGTATGTGTGTGTGTGTGTGTCTGACTGTGTGTGTGTCTGACCGTGTGTTTTGTGTGTGTGTGTGTCTGACTGTGTGTGTGTTTGTGTCTGACTGTGTGTGTGTGTGTGTGTGTGTCTGACTGTGTTTGTGTCTGACTGTGTGTGTGTCTGAATGTGTGTGTGTCTGACTGTGTGTGTGTGTGTCTGACTGTGTGTGTGTATTTAGAAGGTGGGGCGGGGGGGAAGGGTTGGGTGGGTGTGGTGTGGAGGGAGGGGGGCGCCTGAGTTTTGTCCTGCCTAGGGCAGCACAAAACCAAGATACACCACTGCTTGTAAGTATAAGGAATGTAATCACTGTCATAATCAATCATATATATGTATCCTGTATCTACTCATATATTAATTTTAGTGTTAAGATATTATAGTTACAATAGTGTGTCACTTAATTATATTAATGCCTCGTTACTATGACCAAACTTCATATTACTTTAGAAAACACAGTAATTTTACTAAAGATGAATAACCTTAAATTTAGCGAGCTTGCAGATTTAGTTACAAAGTAAATGTTTCAGAACATCGTATCTTGTTAAGTCAATAAAACATCTCTCTGACGTGTTTGTTTTAGATTAGCTTGACATGATATTATTGCCAATTTACGCATTTATATCTTTGGCCATATTACTTTTGCCATGTACATTTATAATTAATTAACTATTTTTTACTATATAAAGTCTGTCTTTTGCACCAATAAATCAGGCTGAGTTTAAAATCTGTACAGTGTCTGTGTTGTTATTTTAAATCTCGTCTCCCAACGCACCTTGTGGTCTTCCTGTCTGTCTCTGTCTGTGGCCTGTGTGTTTGGTCCTAGGTTCGGGGTTGTTAAGGGGTACTGGAGAAATTCCTCACAGCAGTTTCTATAACAATTGTAGGGACTGGTCTGGGATATTTTCCTGTGGCGTCATCATCATCTGATATATTTTAAGGAGGTAAGGAATCGATTTTTATCTTGTGGCAGAAAAGCTGTATATTTTTCTCTCTCTCTATCTCCTTAGCACGTTTTTTTATGTGAGGTGTATAGTTGACTAATATGAGTATTAGTCTGGAGGTATTGACCTGTGTAACAGGAAAAGTTCAAGTGTAGTTTAAGTATAGTGTGTTTAAGGTCAATGTATGTTAATGAGCTCTGTTAAATTTTGTATTTGCATATGTATGATTTAGTTGTTATTATAGAAGTATAAAATTAAGATAAGTGGATATTGTAGAAGTATAAGTTACGTTAAAGTTGTTATTCTTTAGAATATAAGTTAAGTCAAGGTGTTACAAGTTAAGTTGTTTTTGAAAAACTGTGGTAACGTTTTTACATTTTAGACATTGTTGTAAAATTAAGTATTGCATAAAGTCATGTAAATTAACCCCTTAAGGACACAACTTCTGAAATAAAAGGGAATCATGACAGAATATTTCCGTCATGTGTCCTTAAGGGGTTAAATCATAGAGTATTGGAATGTAAAGTTATGTATTGTTGTTACCCCTAGAGTTGTTAACATGGGTACTCCCCAGAGTAAACAGACTAACTCTCAGGAGGTCCAGTCAAAGCCCATAAAGTATAGGACTAACAAGCCATAGCTTATAGGTGCTCTCTTCAAGCCTCCTCCTTTAAAGTGTACAATTCCAAGAGAGTAAATAAAGACGGTAAAAGGCTGCGCACGTTAAATAAAGTCCAATAAAAGGAAAAAGAGAGAAAGTCCAACTGGTATATTCTTACAGGTGTCCTTGGTTGGTGGGGTCTTCTATTTATGTGGTGGTTTCACTCGTTATGAAAAATAAAAAGAGGGAAAAAGGGACATCCAATGGTGTAGTATATAAAATACAAGTATAGGCGTAAAAAATAATAGTATAAAACTCACATTTACCAGAGCTAATGTCCAGCTCTGGAGTAAAGCGCGTACAGCGGTTTAATCCCCGCTTATGGGATATAGGCAGGTTCTTCTCCGTGGATGGTATCCAATTCTCGGGATAAAACAAACAGCCAATAGTGCTCACTGTTAGTTCTTGGACCTGGGTTCACTCATAGACGGAACAATCCGGGACTCACTGCGCAGAAGCCGATGATCTCCTGAGCGAAGCAGCCCAGTGGCGCCTCAAATCATTTGGAACAGGAGTTCATCTGAGACCCGATCGTGGGAACCTCATCGCACGGAAGCTGGCGCAGAGATTTGAGACAGTAAACTTTTACCAAATCCTCTACGCTGCACCCCTGGACTTCTACTGCGTGGACATCCCTTCATCTCGGCGCCACTGGGCTGCTTCGCTCAGGAGATCATCGGCTTCTGCGCAGTGAGTCCCGGATTGTTCCGTCTATGAGTGAACCCAGGTCCAAGAACTAACAGTGAGCACTATTGGCTGTTTGTTTTATCCCGAGAATTGGATACCATCCACGGAGAAGAACCTGCCTATATCCCATAAGCGGGGATTAAACCGCTGTACGCGCTTTACTCCAGAGCTGGACATTAGCTCTGGTAAATGTGAGTTTTATACTATTATTTTTTACGCCTATACTTGTATTT